TTGTGAGTCGCTGTTGGCCGCCATCTATGCCAAGTGCGTCATACTGAAGAGTATAAACAGAGAGAATCCCGCTCAAATTCCTATTCCTACACAAAACACAACCTCCTTCTGCAGTTAACAAATAAGATTTATTATATAAAACCACATAGTACAACCCCAAAGTCATTATTTCTTAAAATTAAGCAACTTGCTTTCTTTCGTGCGGATCTAGCTACTTTTTTGTTGGAGGAGGTGTACTGCTACTAGGTAGTCACCACGAATTTAAACAGCATTATTATTGCTCTTCGATCCTTGGGATTGGATATCGAGTTGGAAAATTCCTCTTCGATCCTTGCGACTCTTATAGTAACCTGCTTGGAACTCGATTTTGAGAAAACATATAAATTTCTATTTTAATATTCCTCTTTGATCCTTCGATTTGTGTGGACCCTACCCGTGGTAATCCTGCTAGAATATCTATTTGGAAAGTCACCTTCGATCCTTTGGATTCGTGTAGTAATCTGTTTGGAAGTCGATTTGGAGAAACTTCCTTCTGTCGACATGGCACCTAAACCTTTCATGAAATTTAGTGGAGCAATCAATGTGATATGCTCACGGATGATGAAAATGATCCATCATCCAGGAAAATTCGAATAAACTTTCCTGGTTTAATGCCATGAGCATGAGCATGATTGACCGCCCACGGTTGCTAGTCTGTTATTTCCAGATCAGCTGTTCTTGCACAGAGAATCAATAGGCGATGCTTGGGACTAGCAATCATTCTCAATGTGTAAAAACTGGTGATCTGAACTAGGCAATACCAGCGCCGGCCGCACCCGAACGCAGGTCAAGAAAGGAATGGGTAGGAGGTATAGATACTATAGATTCCATAGATAAGTGGAGGCACAAAAAGTTGTTTTGGCAACCATGAAAAATAAATGATCTTACTGGCATCCGTGAAAAAAGTTCATGTCATCATAGAGCTCTTCGTTGTGCAGTTTTGTTTTGTTCCGTGCGTAAAAGTTCAAAATGAAGTGCAAAGCAAATCTTTGCAACAATGTATCGAGGAATGGTTTGCTTTATCTTTCCTTCTTCCGTCGTCCACGAAATAAATCGGAATGTGTAGTGTGGAAAGCGTTTTGTGCTCATAATATTACAACACTTCTCCCTCAAACAACATCATGCTCGTTTGGCTACACTAACTGACAGTTCGTTTGGCTACATTATGCTTTTCCTCCGCTTATCTATGGAATCTATAGTATCTATAGTAGGAATGTGTTGACGTGGCGCTCGCTTTGATGGAAGCCGAGAAATCCTCTGCACTTCCACGAGGAATCACTGAGATGTTGGATAAGAGGGTAGGGTTTGTAGCAGGGTTCGGTTTGGTAAACGATAAGCTGAATTGACGTCCTAACGATAGGTAGGGGTTACTGTATAAATAAATAAAAAGGGATGATCTCACTCAAATAACCAAGTGGAACTGCACCAACAGCAACTGGCCTCCTCGTAGACTTTCTTCGGCTCATCGCAGGTATCTCCTTAAAACACAGTCGTCAAAATTCTGGATCCATCTCGTCGATACATAATTAATAAAATATAACAAAATACAAGTAACAATTAACAATTACAAGCTTAATATGAACATTTTAATGTCATGGTATGATTGAACTCACCTTCACATATTTAATGAATCCACAATTTAAGTAAAGGATCAATTTTCTAAATAATCGAGGTTATTTGAGTATAAAAGAGTTATCAAAACAAGTATTAATGAATAATTCTTGAAATAGCAAAACTCTGCAAAGGTAAAACATTTTAAAAACATTGGCCAAATGTATGATTTGTTTTTTCCGTCAATCTTGTTTTCCGTGCTGAGCACCAATGCTACCGACGTGCCAGGAAGGCAGCTCCCACACCTGGACCCTACCTATCGACCCATCACATCAACTCATGAACCGGGGACCAACGGCTTTACTTCCCATCCGAAGGAAGGCGTGATCAGAGATGTTATGCCTCAAAACATCCCGGCGGCGCCGACTGGGATTGAACCCAGGACTTCTGGGGTGAGAGGTAATCACGCTTACCACTACACCATCAGCGCCGTTGACAAATGTATGATGATATTCAATTTATTCTCTGGGTAATCCAAATTCTGAAAACCATAGATCATATTATATTAAAATAAAAAAAATGTAAATAACAATGATTTGCTAGTTAATACACCTACTGGTCCTTCAGGATAATGCAGGACAACTATTTTCGGTAAATGAAAATTATAGCTTTAATGATATAATGAGATTTTAAACATGTGAAATAAAAATAATTTACTAACGGCGCCGGTGGTGTAGTGGTAAGCGTGGTTACCTCTCACCCCAGCAGGCCTGGGTTCAATCCCAGTCGGCGCCGCCGGGATGTTCTGAGGCATAACATCTCTGATCACGCCTTCCTTCGGATGGGAAGTAAAGCCGTTGGTCCCCGGTTCATGAGTTGATGGGTCGATAGGTAGGGTCCAGGTGTGGGAGCTGCCTTCCTAGCACGTCGGTAGCATTGGTGCTCAGCACGGAAAACAAGATCGACGGAAAAAACAAACCAAAGGAAAAAAAAAAAAAAAAAATAATTTACTAGTCATGCAATATATAAAATATAATTAATGTAAAATAAACAAGTATTACAAAATACAAATAAGATCAATTTTAGTTAACCTCAGTAAATGTCAATGATTTCAACTTTTGACATTTCATTGGATTTGAAACAAACACTTTACTATGCAGCATGGAATGGTTTAACGCAATATGGAATGGTTTTAAAAATATTGGTAAACTTTAATAATGAATCAATAGTCAGAAAAATCGAGGTTATTTGGACAACTGACAGTTTTCATGCACTTGTTATCATGCATTAGAATGTTTTTGTTTTTCTGAACGAAGGCTGAAAAAAGTGAACCATTATAATATTATTCTAAAAATGTTCCATCATCGAAGACCTGAAAATAAACTTAAAAATTTAAATCAGCAAATACAGCCTAAACGGAGGAGACTTACAGTCTTTATTAAGAAGACTTTCAGCCCTGGGCTGGTTCGTCTCCTTGCAAACATGATGAATCACATTTTCTTTCTCGATTCTTAAACTTCCCGGAAAGCGAGAAAACCACTAATCACACACATATAACCATCCGGGAGGTAGAGTGCCAGCGCTATCCGGCAAATGCATCCGAAAACTATGAAAGCTAACACACGCACAAAACAGAGAACAAAATTAAAACACAACCGTATCCAAAGGGGTTCAAAACTGCACCTCTTGTTTGGCTTAATGCCAAGATGCAAAAAGTCCCCCCTATTGTGGTAACCACTTCCGATATCCATGCTCTGCGCACGGAACTTTTGAACTTCGTTGATGAATTTTCCACTTCAGATTGGCCGTCGGGGTGAATGCCACGGTTTGGCTGAAACCATCTTTCTGAGAAGGGACACTCATTTTTTTACATACGACAACAAAACTGAACGTCCGTTCAAGGTTATAATGAAAGTCTGTCCAGTGGTAAATCCCTAGATCAGATCTTGAACTTGAATCGACAAATTTACTTGGAATTGAGTCATTACATGTAATTGAAATAAAAAGAAATCCAGTCCTGGCGATTCGCGCAACAGGTTTTCAAATGATATTTATTTAGTGCTCTTCAAGCCAAGTAAACTAAACAACTTTACGGCCTTAGCAGTTCGATAAGTCGTCGACTTTGGAAAGCAACCTTTTCGTGATGGGTGTGCGAGGGATGACCACGTTTTCCGTCCATTTCTGCAATGGAAGCGCACTGCATCCCGTTGGCGATACTGCCATACTATGAAACCACTGGAAGAGGATCCCGTTCTGATGGAGGAGACTTATTTGATAGCGGAAGATAAAGTGTTTATTGTGTTGTAGCTTTTGACTATAGTTTTACAATGTTTTGTATAGTGAACAGCAATCTTCGGCTCTGTAAAGTTAATTCGAATGAGCCTTAGCATTTTCATTATGTTTTGAATACTTCTCATTAAAAATCCGAATTTTGTTAAAAGCTGAACACTGTTAATTTGCGTAAAATCCTAAATCAACTACCTGGCGAATGTTTCCAAAACTTCCTTACTGCTAAGCACCGCCTTTCTAAACTGCAAATTGATAAGCTCGGTACTCTTCGTCTCACCGTTCACGCGCTACCGATGATGCCACACCCTTCCGATAAAGCGGCAACCAACCGCCTCTCAATATCGTTCTCTAATCGCCGGCTACGCTTGTCGTCAAAAAGCCACAGCGAGGAATTCGGCTCAACGAACGATGATGCGTCACCATCATCACCATCACCGAAGCACCGCCACTGACTGCCAAACTGGGTGGTCTGTTTAATCACTGTCGGTTTTTACTGGCGGTTCTTCGCTGTTGACGATGTTTTGACAAAATATGTTTCTTTTTTCTAGGGTCAACACATTGGAGCTGGATTTTTTTTTTGCTGCCCCACTGGAGCAGTTTTGCATTTATGACGATATTTTGGTGACTTGTTTTATGGATGTCAATCGTTTGTCAGCGAACGACGGATCACTCAGACCAAAATTTGGCACTAAAATAATATTCGCTGCACCCTTGTGTGATTGGCGGTGTTTTGTGTGCAATCAATTCGTCATTTTTTTGTTCTTGCATAGGGTGCGGAACCATTTCGGTCTATCTATCTTTAATTTGGCACGATTCATCCATTTGCATGACTGTTTGTCTTCATTACTTTGGACGCGTATAACGGAAATGGGTCCCATATTTGCTCACTTCATTATCGAACAGAATCGTAATCATTCCGAGGAACAAACGTAACAAACAATAATATCATCAAGGGAGCGGATTTTCTACTCGATTAATAAACTCAAGTTGTTTACCACGTACCAGCCAATGAACTATACATCTCGAGAGCTAATTTTCCTGACAACCTCTAATTGCTCACTCCATCTTCGTACTAATGAGCTCTATTTCTCTATGCATTCCATTTCTTCCCTTCCGAACAGGTCCTGGTTCGAGTACAAACAGCTACACGATAGGTGGTAGCAGTGTAGATCTACAATCCCAGCAGCAGCAGCAGCAGCAGCAGGTTCTCCAGAAACAGCAAACAAGTCAACCGCAACATCAGCCGCAGCCCCAGCAGCAGCAGCAGCAGCAGCATCAGCAACTACAACTACAACAGCAGCTACAACAATCATCGAGTTTATCAAGTAGTAATAGTCTAATTAATAACAACGGTAATCAAATTAGGGATAGGGATAGTACCAATTACGTGAACGTGTCCGCGATATCGACCCTCAACGCGTCCTCCATTAGCAACAACATCATCATCAGCACCAACAATAGTGGCCACATCAACAATAGCAGTAGTTCCGGTAGTACCAATCACCACGTGAACCTAATAGGCGCATCGAACGCGTCAGCCACGATGACCACCTCGGCCGCTATTTCGCCCCCGCGGCCAATGCAGAAGGTAAGAAGTTGTTTGCTCTTTGGGAGGGATCGTTTCTTAAATGCAACATATCGTGGATAAATCACGTAACAATCATTGATGGGTTAGAACCTATTTCTGTGGTCATGTTCTACCATGGGTCTCCATCGATTGTCGTGTGGGATGGGAATGCTCCTTGCTCCTTAAACCTTTGACCACTGCGTAGCTACTTCACTGTCCTGCCCGCGTTTTTTCCTTGATTTGTTTTCCGTCGATCTTGTATTCCGTACTGAGTACCAATGCTACCGAAGCAAGAAAGGCAGCTTCCACAACTGAACCCTACACTGAGGCAAAAGAACGTAAGAATTCCATAAGAACCACTTATGAATTTCAGCCACAAGAAATCGGAATGAATTTCAATGATTGCTCTATGGAAAATACTGTTGACAAAAAAATAATAACACTGAGCAGACCGGAACTGAACCATGAACGTTGAGACTACGGGAGGTCCTGTGTCTAAGCCACTCGTCTGTTAACGCTTGGAAAAATTGAATTTCTTAAGGCGTATAAGAGCAACCACATTTTAGACGAAAATCTTTTATAAGTCGCGCCTTATGAAATTCTTAAGTCTATTTACCGCAGTGTACCCATCGACCCATCAACTCATGGACCGAGGATCAACGGCTTTAGTTCTCAGAAGAAAGGCGTGATCAGAGATTTGATGCCTCAGAAAATTCCTATGGCACCGACTGGGATTGAACCCATAACTTTTGGTGTGAAAGGCAATCACGCTTACCACTACACCACCGGCGCCGCTTGCCCCCTGTTTTTGATTTAAGTCAGAGGAGCAGAGCGACGGGAAAGTGTCTAGAATACGCTTCTAAAAGAATCACAGTTCGAAAAAGTTGTATGACTTTCTGTTACTATGATTCAAGTTTACATTGTAGATCATGAGAAAATAGATGGCAATCTCTCAGGGGGATATTTTCTTTCATGTTACGATGCCCTGCGCAAAACTATGCTAGCAAACATATGTCTTGAAGACAAGTAATCAATTTTAACAAGCACTTACCAAAAATCGGTTTATCATCAACAGAGGGATTTCAGAGCAATGTAATTTATTTTCGAAAAGTCAATTTTAAGAGAACATTCTCCTAATGGAACGCAGTTTAAGACTGTGTTGCCACGATGAAAAATTTAAGTAATGGTGTCAATAGTGTCAGATCGCGGGAAGCCCCCTTTTCAAATGATTAAGGATTCGTGAAAGCCGACTTTTTGTTTATTTTACAGTTATTCTAACAATGACACCGTGTGCCATTTGGTGAATTTACATTTCAATTTGACAAATGGAAAATTTTCTGCCCGACAAGAAAATTATGTTTACAAATACATAGAGTAAGTGGGGCCTCCCTTAGCTCAGTCACTAAAGGCGCAGCTACAAAGCAAGACCATGCTGGAGGTGACTGGGTTCGATTCCCGGTCTGGTCTAGGAATTTTTTGGGTTGGAAAATTTCTCGACTTTCCTGGGTAGAGAGTTATGATTGTGCTTGCCACACAATAATACTAATGCAAAAATGGTACAGCCATCGAAACTTCAAATAAGTCTGTTATAGTGTTGTCTGTAGTGGTAATTTTTATGCGATAGATGGAGTACATGAAAGTATATAAGTCCATCTATCGTATAAACATTACCACTACAGTCTGTTATTTGAAATTAGCATCTTCAACTATGTAAATCGTTGACTTCACGCAGAAGTAATACTAAACATATAGTCAAAGCATCGAAACTTTTTAAGTAATAACTGTGGAAGTGAATCTAGAACACTAGGTTGAGAGCACCCAATAAGCTAATATGCGATATGCAATAAGCTTGAAATGCGAAGAAGAACAAGAAGAAGTGTACCAGGTTTTGGACCTGGTGGTCTACTAATCGGCCTTTACTTTAATTTCCCATTTTGACGTAGGACTACCGCTTTGTGGACAATGCTGGGGTGCAAATCAAATAAATGTGTGACGAAATAGTGTCAGGTTTTAAATACTTATAACTGGGCCATTTATTGAGGAATTTCAATTCTTTTCATACAATATGATTCATATTTGGTGAAAGATCTGTTTGGAATAAAATCATAGTAATTTATCAGTAGTAAACTATTGAAAATTGATTAAACTTTTTGGCCACAACCAATCGCGTGCTTGCTTGCTATGACTATCAAGAGAACAGAGATAGACGAGCCGATTGTACGGTTATAGAAAGTGGCCCTCAATCTGCACAACCATCTCGAGTTCCATTTGATCTTACAAGGAACATCGACTGGCAGAAATATGCAACGGCGGTGACTATCGGTATCGAATCAATAGATACGCTCCCACCATTGGAAGAATATCGATTCCTCACCGATTTGATATACAAAAGCTCTCTGGAAGCACAAAAAAGAAAAGTTCCAAGTGCATCCTTTAAAAGGAGACCAGCCACACCTGGATGGGACGAAGAATGCACAAAATTGTATGTAGAAAAATCTGATGCTTTCAAAGCTTTTCGTAGACACAAAACCTCCACTTACTTCGAGGAATATTCAAAGCTTGAGACAAAGCTGAAACAATTAATCAAAGCAAAAAAACGCGGTTATTGGTGCAATTTCGTCGAGGGACTCTCACGAGAAACCTCAATGAACACCTTGTGGAGGGTGGCTCGCAACATGCGTAACCGCTCATCTTCTAATGAGAGTGAAGAATACTCCAACCGATGGATATTCGATTTCGCTAAAAAGGTCTGTCCGGACTCAGTTCCAGCACAACACATTCTTCGAGAAGCGTCTCCGAGCGGCAGCTCTCTGGATGGACCATTCACAATGCTGGAATTCTCTATGGCTCTTCTTTCATCGAACAACTCCTCACCGGGAAGCGATATGATTAAATTCAATCTTCTGAAAAATCTCCCAGATATCGCTAAAAGACGCTTGCTAGACTTATTCAATTCCTTACTAGAAAACAACATTATACCGCCTGAATGAAGACAGGTCAAAGTAATAGCCATTCGAAAACCTGGCAAACCAGCGTCTGACCATAACTCATACCGTCCGATTGCGATGCTTTCGTGCATTAGGAAATTGTTGGAGAAAATGATCCTTCGGAGACTCGATCACTGGGTCGAATCAAATAACTTGCTATCAAATACACAGTTTGGGTTCCGCAAGAGCAAAGGAACAAACGATTGTCTAGCGCTGCTTTCCACAGATATTCAACTGGCCTTTGCACACAAGGAGCAATTGGCTTCAGTATTCTTGGACATTAAGGGGGCTTTTGATTCAGTTTCCATTGAAATTCTGTCAGACAATCTGCACAGATGTGGACTTTCTGGAATTTTAAATAATTTCTTGTACAATTTGCTGTCAGAAAAGCAAATGAACTTTTCCCTTGGACAACTGACAACTTCCAGAATTAGCTACAGGGGCCTGCCCCAAGGCTCATGTCTCAGCCCTCTTCTTTATAACTTTTACGTCAAAAATATCGACAACTGTTTGGCAGAACAATGCACGCTTAGACAACTTGCAGATGACGGTGTGGTTTCCGTAAGAGGTCCACATGCCGTGGACTTGCAAGGACCATTGCAAAGTTCCTTAGATAACTTGTCTTCTTGGGCTAGGAATCTAGGGATCGAATTCTCGCCGCAGAAAACTGAACTGGTAGTGTTTACTCAAAAGCGGTACCCAGCCCAAATGCATCTTAATCTTTTGGGCAGAAACATTACTCAATCATTGTCTTTCAAGTACCTTGGGGTCTGGTTTGATTCAAAGTGCACTTGGAATACCCATATTACGTATTTGAAGCAAAAATGTCAGCAGAGGATCAACTTTCTCCGTTCAATTTGCGGCACATGGTGGGGTGCTCATCCGGGAGACCTCATAACGCTTTATAAAACAACTATTCTCTCTGTTCTAGAGTACGGCTCTTTCTGCTTTCTCTCGGCAAGAAAATTTCACCTAATAAAATTGGAACGAATTCAATATCGTTGTCTGCGTATTGCTCTTGGCTGTATGCACCCAACGCATAACATGAGTCTCGAGGTTCTGGCAGTAGTAAAACCCCTCCAGAACCGTTTCTGGGAGCTCTCTCTCAGAATACTAATCAAATGCGGAGTGACGAACACACTTATAATTGCAAATTTTGAAGAAATTCTTGGGCTGAACACACAATCTCGATTTATGAGAATCTACCACCACTACATATCGTCGGATATGTGTCTTCCTTGTTATACTCCAGACCGTGCTCACTTCACCAATCGCAGTTCCTCAATTGAATATGATCTGTCCATGAAACAAGTGATTCATGGGATTCCAGATCAACTTCGAACTATTATTATCCCGCGTATTTTTACTGAAAAGTACCAACACATCAATTGCGTGAAAAGATATTTTACAGACGGGTCACGTCTCAATGGATCCACTGGCTTCGGTGTCTTCAATGAAAACTCTAGCGCCTTCCGCAAGCTTCAGGAACCTTGTTCCGTTTTTGTTGCTGAGCTGGCAGCAATCAACTTCGCATTGGGGATGATTTCCAACATGCCCGCAGACCATTACTTCATCTTCTCGGATAGTCTCAGTTCGATTGAGGCTATTCGGTCGATGAAACAAGGTAGGCACTCATCTTATTTCCTTTCAAAGGTAAGGGAGCAGATGAGTGTGCTGGTCGAAAGATCATATATGATTACCTTTGTATGGGTCCCCTCACATTGCTCAATCCCAGGCAATGAGAAGGCGAATTTTATGACAGGCAAATTTCACACGATGAATTTTACCATTTAGTGCGTCAGAGTACCCTTTCGAGTTGGCAAACCGATTGGGACACTGGAAATCTTGGACGGTGGTTACATTCAATTATTCCTAATGTTTCTTCGAGAGCGTGGTTTAAAGGCTTGGGCTTAAGTCGTGACTTCATTCGCGTGATGAGTAGACTTATGTCCAACCACTACTCGCTAGATGCTCATCTCAATAGAATAAACCTCGTGGACAGCAACATCTGTCGGTGTGGAAACGGTTACGATG